GCGGGGGAGCCGGCGGGAGGCCGGGGCCGCCTGCGCAGCCTGGGTCTGGCCTCCAGCAGCGCCTCGGGGCTGTCGGGGCTGGGCGAGGGCAGACCCACTGCGCCTCCTGAAGGGCTGTCCAGCTTGCAGAGCTTGGGGGCCTCGCCCGGGTCGGGGGGCCCAGGATCGGCGGGCTGCCGGCTGGGTGCATAGGCCGACTTGATGTCCAGGGAGAAGGAGCGCTTGAGGCGGTTGGTGTCCTGGAGGCGGTCGGAGGAGAGGTGCAGGCCCCGAAGTCCCTGCTGCAGTGCGCTGGTGGCCGGGGCCGGGCACTCCCCGCCCCCGCTGGCCGGCGTGCCCTCCCACGCTGCAGCGGCCACCGAGCCCCCCGTGGCGGCGCTCTCTGAGGTAGGTGGTGGCAGAGGTGGCAGTGGTGCCGCAGGGCCCGGGAGCGGCTCGGGGGTCCCCGGGTGGGGCGCCCCCTCGCCCTGCAGGGCGGCCAGCAGCTTTAGGCTGCGCTCATACTCCAGCAGCTGGCCCAGGAAGTTGAAGTTGGGCGAGATGGACGGGCGCCGGTCCTTCACGAACCTGGGGACAGGCCATTCGATGGGACAGGGCGCCCCCTGCCGGCTGCCCACCCGCTGCGCCCACGGACCGCCCTGGGCCCGCAGGCTGCATAGAGGCGTGGGTGGTGGTCAGGGCAAAGGTCAGGGGACCCCGCTGGGGAGGGGTGGGGCGGCTGCGGGGGGTCGGGGAAGCAGAGGCCCACCTGTAGGCGTCGTCGGAGGACATGCCCATGGTCTTCATGATGTAGGCGATGGCGATGGTGGCAGAGCGGGAGATGCCGGCCAGGCAGTGGACGATGACCTGACAGCTGGACAGCTTTGCTTTATCTGCAGGCAGGCGTGGGGCCAGGTGAGGGCTGGGACCCACAGATCCTGGGGGTCCTCCCAGCTGCCCCCAGTCCCGGGCACTTCTCAGGGCACAGCACGGGGTCCTGCCTCTCCAGCCCGGCCCCTCCCACTGCTGAGCCCGTAGATCCGGCCCGCCCGCGCCCTGACCTCCCTCCCACCACGTGTCAGACCCTCACCGATGAACTCGATGGACCTGTCCAGCCAGGGCAGCAGCTTCTCACAGTAGTTGTCGTTGATGGGGACGCGCATGAATCGGCTCTCACAGATGAAGTCTGGCTTGGGGCAGGAGTTGCTGGCGTTGAGGACGTAGCTTATTCCATTTCGTGTCATCAGGTCCTGGGGGGTTGCAGGGGCAGGAGGTTGGGGGTGGGCAAACCACTGCCTTAGCTCCCTACAGATGCAGAGGCCCTAGGCGCGCA